GTTCCTGCCACCTCAGACTGGCAGTGGGCATAGCCCATACCCAGCCCCAGGAAGACTGATGCTGCCACCAGTCCCAGGTGGCAGGAGCAGCCTTCTATGATCCGGCAGGTGGATCAGGGGCCTGCCCATACCCCTGGGAGGGCTGCAGGAGCTCTGCTGGACTCCTCCTGGGGGTGCAGGCCCCCAGATCTGTGCATGGGATGACAGCATGCTGTCGCTGCTGGCTGGGGCCAGTGGCAGCACCAGTCTTCCCAGTGCTGGGTGCAGGCTGCGCCCAGCGCTGGTCCCAGGTGGCAGCAGCAGCCTCCTGTCATCTGGCAGGCAGATCAGGGGCCTGCACCCCCAAGAGGAGTGCGGGCCCCCAAGATCTTCCTGCCAGATGACAGGAGCCAGGAGGCTGCTGCTGCTGGTGGCAAATGACAGTTTTGCTTGTCAACACCTTGAGGTGCATTTTCCCAGAAACTTCTGCACCTATCTCCTTGAAACTTAGCAGGCTTTGTGCCCTCAGAAGAATTGACACAATTATAGGCAGTTTCATTCTTCCCCATTATAGCCTATGGGCAAAACATCAAACAGTGATGAAACAGCAAAACAGTTTCGACGAAAGGAAATGGAACAGTGCTTTCAAAATTAAACAAAACTCAAACTGAAACACTGTTCCATTGAAATGGAAATCAAAGCTGAACAGTGCTGTTTTTCATAGCCCTAATGATTTGGTTTATTTTTGTAAAATGCTTTCTAGTCATTAGCATATGTTATCGGCAGCCATCAAAAGATAAAGCAAATTATTTTCTTTATTTGAACAAACAGACCAAAAATTCTGATCATATTTGAAATTCAGAAGTGAAGAGCACATTTACCTTCATCATGATGATCTTTTTGGAAAAAAATATTTGTTAGTATCACCCTGCGTTTCTGTTAGGTACTGTTGTATTCCTTCCTTCCCTCCCTCCCCTTTTTATCTTGATATTTAACACCTTTATGTCTGAGCACCTGTTATGTAATAATTTATAGTCATGTGGGGTGCAGAGGAAACATTGACCTTGTTATACCAATGAGATGCTAATGAAAGTCAAATTCATTGAAATGAGAGTAATAGTATAAGAGAGGTGTTTGATCCCAGAATTTCTTTTATATTATACTAAATACAAATCAGGAAATACAAATTCTTTCTGTATTTTAGAATGGTACGTTTCAAAATACTATTTAAATTTATATTTAGGCAGACTGTCTTACATAGTCAGAATAACTTAATTAACTTACTTAAATACTAGAGCAAAATGGGACAACTCACAAGGCATATATCGTATGGTGATTGATCTCTGAAAAAAGATAAAGGGCAGAGACACTAGAAGATCAGTGAGAGAACATTTGTCACAGAAAAAACAGTTACTTTCTGACCTCATAGTTCTTGTGCTCAAAGGAAGTCTACCCAACACTCTTATGAGATGAGCATGGGAACAGAAATTCATTAGCCTATTGGACACTAAGTACCAGGGACTTAACATAGACAAGAATTTCGAGGTCCATTATAATCTACCTTATATTTGCTTAACCTCTGCACTTTGCAGGTGCTAGAGGCCCTCCTGAACAATCTTGTTCCTCCTTCATCAAGGTTTCACTGCATCTCTCCTGCCTATTGGATACCTGATAATTTCTCTTATATCCTGTTTTTATTTACACATAGAGTTCTATGCAAGCTTTTATTCCATTTGGTATTTAACTGTGCTGTGCTTTTCTCCTTAAGGAAGTGTACACGGGTACTGGAAACTTTCCTATGTCTATCTTAACCATTTAGTTGGTCCAATAATAATGTCGCCCATTGGAATTCTTGCCTCTCCCTTATTTCCTGGACCATTACGGCAACAATATCACTTGGACACTACCAAGGCATTTGAGCTAAGTACAGAGAGTCAAAAAGCCCAAGGCTGAGTCAATTCAGTTTTTTCAGGTTAGTCTAAACTGCAGAGATTAAACTAAGAAACAACTGGACAGACATTCACTTTTGATTCAGTAAATGCAGCCACATGCCTGCAGTGGCTGAGGCCAGAAGCCAGGGGGCAATAGAGCACAGCTGTCTGGCATGTAGCTAGCATGGGCTGTGTGTTTGCTTCCTCTTCCTGCTTTCCCCAAGGCCTCTGGGATTTGCAGTCCAAAATTACAGCAGCAGGACTGTGCAGGGTTGCTCATCATTTCCTTTTCCTACTTTTAAGTGCTTCTGGGATTTGTAGTCCATGGCTGCAGCCAGCAGTAAGGTTTTAGCAGGGCAGGGCAGCTCTGTACTCAGGGGGAGGGAAGTTTAACTGCCCTCCCTGGCCCCAGACCATGACTGCGTTTGCCTGGGTGGGGGGGAGGGAGGCAGTCCCTGACTCTCTCCTTGGTCCCTCCAGCCTTTCTCTGCTGGAACAGACAGTACAGCCCAGCCCAGGGCTGGAAAGCATGCTGAGGAACTGTGATTTAACTTGAACCAGGAAGGGGTCTAGGACAGAAGTTTCATAAACTGGTTTAACCCGAATCAGTTAAGTCTGATACTAATTCAACCAGGTTTATCTTAAGCCAGTTTCAGACATTTTGAATGTGGTTTATGTGCACTGAACTTTTGTTCTGTTACAGGCTTAAACCAGTTTCTGATGAATTCAGCTAATTTATGTGCAACTTCTGTCCCTAGCCTTCAAGGATGGATGTGCTTAGATCTTTTCAGGCTCAAAGCTCTTAAATAAGCACTAAGAAAAAAATCTTTCTTTATTATTATACGTGTGTAGAGCACTTATTATTAGTTGTCTGAAATGCTAGTTTTAAAATGCAATTCTAAAGTTGAAATAGAAGTGCTGTGGATTTTGGCTATTTACAAATTTGACACGCACATTCTTTTTTCCCCTACTTTTTTTACTTTAAAATAGTGATTTAGGTCCATATCACAAATTTGTTTTGATGATTTATTCACATAATGCTTGGTGCCTTTTAGATTGTTGTGGAAGGCAAAACTCAAAGCAAAGCCATGCTAAGACTGCAATTTATTGATTTCTTTTAAGCTCATGTCATTTATTCCATCTACAGTTTGACAAATAATAGTATTTTATTTTTTCAATTTCAGTTCCTATATTGGTCCCAAATTAAAATAAAGTTGGAAGTAATTTTCTTGTCATTTTATGTACATCCTGTAAGCCACCACACAATTTGTCACACTTGCCATGTCTCTGCCTGTCTCTTATCAGGGACTGAAATAGCAGGGATGTTTGGAGGTCACAGTTTTGTTGCTACAGCTGTATAGAGAATCTTCTGCATATTCTGTTCCAGTGTACACTGTACTTGCCCAACCATTAACTTGCTCTCATGAGCCCTAGATTCACTTGCATGTTTTTATAAAAGAGAAAAGCACAGCAATATTTTGCTTTGTGGTGTTTCCTATTGCTATGATGTATTGATCAACTGCAATAAATTTTTCAGTGCATTTTGGAGAGCCATGCCAGCATGCTGAAATGTATTTTAAATATATCCTATGACTTTGAAACATTAATTTATAAGTCTACAGTAGCCTGTGCTACTGTAGCCTGTTGCTAGGGAGATTCCATTACCACATCCTAAGATCTGAAAGTTACATGCCCAGTTATGTTACATTTCTGTAGTCCTGCTGAGAACTGATGATGGCAAGAATAAAGGGATGAAATCTCATAGTCAACCAGGACAACAGAAAGTGTTACTCTCAGATGATGCTATGGAAAAGGTTAGCAACAACAAAGAATCCAAGGGTATTCATAAACAACAGACTGAATTTAACACTTGGAGATAATGTACCTTGAAAAATAAGAGCATCTTCATCATGGTTGCTTTTTTTTCCTTTGCCTACCAGTATCGCAACTATCTTGTGGGGGGTTTAATTTTTTATAAGCTGATCTTGTCCAAGCTTTGGGCTATTTTGGTGGTAATGAAATGGCCATACTTCATTGTAGTAGTAGTGAAGTATAGGTATGTGCAATTTGCAAATTTTGGGTATTATATTGTATGAGTCTGCAGTGCCTGCAGTGTAGTATAGACATGCATGAGCTACCTTTAAACTGGCTAGCTCATGTACCACTAGGGCTAGGGACAGACATCACACATAAACCAGTTTAAGCGATCAGAAACTGGTTTAAACAGAACAGAACAGATGTTCAGTGCACATAAACCTGTTTGAAAATGGCTAAACCAATTTGCAATAAACCTGGTTGAGTGTAGTATCAGACTTAATTGGTATGGGTAAACCGGTTTATGCAATGTCTGTCCCAGACCACTTGCTGGTTTAAGATAAACCAGACTCTCCCAGCACCCTGGCATGTTCTCTGGGCTGGGTAGGGCTCTCTGCTCCACAGCAGGGCTGGCCCCTCCCCTCTACTCCCTGGCTGGATCTCTGGATAAACTGGTTTGTGTGTAATTTCTGTCCCTAGCCAAAGTGCTTTACAATGCACTGCTTTTGTCTTTAAAAAGTGGGACCTGATTGTATCTGATATAGTTTATCTTTTACTTAAATCTTACTATACCTAGTTATTTTGGTTAGTTCTGACATCTAGTTATAGTCTCAAAATTAATTCGGATTCAAAAATAATTTGCATAATTTGACCATTATTTTTTAATCCTAGTAATTTGTTAACCCAATAAAATAATTAAAGCCTGGGCAAGAGAGAAAACAAGGACAACTGTGAAATTAACTATTTGAGTATGTGGAATAACAGAGGGAAAAAATGACCTTTTGTTTAAGCTTTGCCGGACTTTATTGGTAGTCTGTGCTACCCCACTGGTACATTTTTAATAACTAGTTATAGAATATCTGCCACACATTTATCTTTATGCAGAGTTATATGTACAAAACCCGTAAATAGTAGTATAAAGAATATGCCACTGAACACATTTTTTCATATTAACATACACAATTACTTGTTTGAGAGTTAATGAATTTTTTTTAAAAAAATAACATCTGTGATACTATTTAAATGTTAATAATGCCAAAAATTTTCTTTCAACAGAGGAATTCAAGGGCTCAACAATAGTTGAATTAATGAAAAAAGAAGGCACCACCCTGGGGCTTACAGTATCGGGTGGAATTGACAAGGATGGGAAACCAAGAGTATCTAACCTTCGTCAAGGAGGAATTGCTGCTAGGTAACCACATCTCCAGCCACAAAATACATTATATGATGTGATTGCTTCAAAAATACATACTGCATCAAAAAGGTCACTAATAAATAACTGACTAACAGCATCTGAAAAGCAGCACATCAGAAAAGAGACAACGAGACATTTTAATAGAAAGAAACATGTAAATAGCATTCAGGCCACTGCATCTCACACAGCTGTTTTGATACAAGCCAGAAATACCGGCAACGTGTTTGAAAGTCATTGAAGGAATAATTTTTTATAAATGTTTTAAATTTGATTTTTTTTTTTTTTTTTTTTTGCTTGACCAAAATCTATAAAAATGCATTGGTGATAAATGGTGACGGCAAAACAGCAGCAGAAAAGCTGAAATATAAGTAACACCATAGTTTCAAATGACTGCTGCTGATTCATTTAATGTTTAAGATTAAAAATAGCTAAGCATCCTGCTTGTACAGGGAATGCCAGACACGCTGTTACTTGAGAAAGAATCTGGTTGAGAGACAGATGTTAAGGCAAATCATTCCAAGTGACTGAGCAGAATATGTGCCATTGGACTGTGCCACATTTACTATTACTTTGTTATATTGGCTGGGAAAGTAATGACTTTGTCCAGAAAATAGTTCTGGCAGTAGCCCAAACAAACACAGGTGAGAGGTTCCAGGTTAAAAGAGGACAGCCAGGAAGTGAAGTCCTACCAGATGTAGTTAAACACTACTATAACCAGAAAGCTGGCATATTTAGCAGCTTTTCTTACCTAGATGCTAATGCTCTAATAACATACTTTTTTATATTCTAGAAGTAGATTAGACTAAAATCTTGAAAAGTCACCGTACTATTTGAATGATTCACACAGGAAGTTTTTTTGCTTGTTTGAATTTAGATGCAAGCAAGATTGATTTTTTTGTCAGCGCTGAAAGTGTCATTGAAAGGAACTTGGCTAACCTGTCCCAGTCTCACAAGTTTACTAAAGAGATAATGTACCTATTGCAGAAGTGACCAGCTGGATGTAGGGGACTACATTAAATCTGTGAATGGAATCAACCTGACCAAGTTTCGCCATGATGAGATCATCAGCCTGCTCAAGAACGTTGGCGAGAGGGTTGTTTTAGAAGTGGAATACGAGCTCCCTCCAGTCTGTAAGTAACAGGAGTAGTTGAAAATCCCTTACATGTGTAATAATTGAATACTGTCTCTCTCACTTGCTCTTGCTCTCTCTACCTTATGATATAAGGTTTCTTAACTTAGAATCATAGAAAATTAGGGTTGGAAGGGACCTCAGGAGATAATCTAGGTCAGCCTCCTGCCCAAAGTAGGACCATCCCCACCTATATTATCCCAGCCAAGGGTTTGCCTATTTGGGTAACCTGTTCCAGTGCTTTACTTAAGGGGTGGAATCTTAAGGTCCCTTCCAGCCTTCTTTCTCTATGAACACTAATGCAGCGTGAGCTTTATATATAATAAAACTGAAAAATAATATAACTTGTTTTTTCCTGTTGTTGTCAAATGCAGAACGATTTATGATTGCATTTTCAAAAGTGCTCAAATGAAGTCCCATGACAGTCCATTTCTGTGAATGGGCAATGCAAAGAGTTTATACCTACTTATCATTCACTCTTTTCTTATAATTTTGAGGGTAGCTAGTAACTGAGATATTGGACACTTGATCAAATTTGGAGACAAGAGATCTGTAAAGGAAATGGGGAGTCCCCAGGCACTCACACCTCCCTTTTTGTTTTTTTCAGTTCATGAACCTCTGTTTTCAGCTCTTAATAACAGCTTTGAATAAGATATTTCAAGAAATAATAATTCATATTATTTTTAAGTGTGTCTGTAATCCTTTCTTCAAGAGGCAATCAATCCCTTTCCATCCATAAGGCCCTATACTGCTCCAGCAGGTGAATGTTTTACTTTGTGTTTTCTGGGGTCACTATTGGGTAGAGGCTACTTGCCCTCTAACATCTTCAGGGCTGCCAAGTCCTTTCCTCATTCTGTCCTCTGCCCATAGATTCCTAGTATGACCTTACTGGGTGATGGGAGACCTGCCCTACCTGTGCAGTAGCAGGATTATAAATATTATTTTTGTTCATGTGTCAGTAACTCAGTTTGAGGCTCAGAGATGTATCAGACAGCTTTAATATGATGAATGATCTACAGAAGAGACAAGCAAGAATGAAATGGTCCAAGTGATCCTTCCTGAGGAGTCTGGTAGTGGAGGGAAGAGTCAAAAGTAGAAGTGAGGTCTGGCCAACAAATCACCTACCTCCTAAAGACAGGGTTGTTTTAGACCATTATCATTATCATGCACATACAACAGCAGGTCCAGGAGTAGTGAAGTGTGGTATAGACACCCCCCACCCCTGTAGGAGTGCTGCACATGTGCAATGAGCTCTGAGTTTACTGTCTGTTCAACATAGGCTCCTGCCAGACTTCCACCGGCACAATGAGCACTGTGAACTCACTACAACGCTCAAGAAAAAAAGGGTTAATGAATTCCAGTGTTCTCAGATTACTGGAGAGTACCTCTAATTATGGATTTCTTTGTCTTTTTGAACTTTCGGCAACCTCCTTGCTATATTTTGGACATCTGTTGTAGGTCTGTGTTTATTAGGAACAACTGAGCTTCATGTTCAGACCTAGGACATTTGTATTAGAGATCAGTTGAGTACTAAATGCAATTATTTCACTAGCATTTTTTCATTCACAACTACTCAAATGTACATTTGCAGTTTAGGCTCTGTTGGCACATGTAAGCCTCTGTCTGTTGCAATATGTTTCTGCTATGCTACATTACATCTGTAATCATAACCATTCATTTAAGTTTTCAGGATTTCTGACCTCTTGTACAAATATTGCTGGTAATGATGCTGAATAATAGCAGTTGTGCTATCCCTGTCAAGTTCCACTGATATTATGTGTGTGATGTCTTGTACCATAGCAGGAATGTTGATATATATGTCCTGTCATCCTTCAAATTATGCTGAGCTTGCATTGTTTCCCCCAGGGCCAGCTTACTCCCTGAGAAGACTAGGTGAGTTTTTAGGGAAACTTCAGTAAAGTAATAACAATGGAGTCAACATTAATTTGTGCACAAAACCCTTGTGACAGACAGTCTGACAGAGATTAGTAATCCCAATCCTGCCTGCATCTCTTGACCTTCAGAGAACCCATCCTTTAGGCTTCAGAGGAATGAGAAGTAGGGCTAACTCTCCCCGCCACCACCACTCCACCCTCTGGATGGACCAGAATTTTCTCCCTTCCGTCCACAGAGAGGAGAAGTATTTGTATAGGTGTTACTGATTGTGTTCTGACCTTTTAACTATTTTCATTTTAGCAATGGTAATTGCAGGTTCATATGGAACAGTGGTAGCAAGTCATTTTTGAAAATAATTTTATACTTTTCTGTGCTCTGCATTTTCTAATAAAACAAGCTTGGAAATTTGAAAATGTTTTCTCCTGTTCCATTTTTTTTCCCATTGAGTTTATCTTTTTTCCATTTGGAAAATGTCAGTTCCCCATCCTTTCCAAAATTTTCCTTTTTTATTAGAGTTTAAATGAAAATGACTACCTGTGTTTTTCAGAACTACAGCATCATTTCTTGTAAAAATCACTTACCATGTTCAGCCATCTTACAGTATTCATTCACCTTCTCAGCAAGGATCTGGGAACAGCCGCTGTTGCAGTGTTGCACAAAACATTTGCCTTTAATACTATTCAAGCATTTTTAATTAATTTATTAATGATTAGGTGACATAATTATAAAGGGTTATTTTGAATCTAATATCCTTCATCCCTCATGATATAGATTCATAGATGGTTAGGGGCTGGAAGGGACCTTGCAGATGATCGGGTCTGGCCCCCCCGCTCTAGGCAGGAAGACAACTAGGGTTAGGTGACCCCAGCAAAGTGACTGTCCAGTTTCCTCTTGAAAACCTCCAGGGTAGGTGACTGCACCACCTCTGGAGGGAGTTTATTCCACAGTCTGGACACCCTGACTGTGAAGGAGGTTTTCCTGGAATTGAGCCTGAAGCAGCCTTCCAGGAGTTTGTATCCATTGGTCCTGGTCTTCTCTGGGGGTGCCCTAGTGAACAGTTGTTCACTGAGCTCCTGATGCTCTCCTCTGATGTAGCGGTAAGCCACTATCAACCTTCTCTTCTTTAGACTGAAGAGGCCCAGGTCCCTCAGCCTTTCCTTGTATGGCTTGCCTTGCAAGTCCCTGACCACATGGGTGGCTCTTTTCTGGACCCTCTCTAGTTTTTCCACGTCCTTATTGAAGTGCGGTGCCCAGAATTGGATGCAGTACTCAAACTCCAGTCTCACCAGTGCTGAGTACAGCAGGAGTATCACTTCATTAGTTTTACATGAGATGCATTGGTTGATGCATGCCAGCATGTTATTTGCCCTGCTAACAACCGCCTCACACTGACAGCTTACATTCATGTGATTATCAATCATTACCCCTAGGTCCCTTTTGACCATGGTGCAGGTCAAGCTGTTACCACCGAGCCTGTATCTATGTTGAGGGTTAAATTTAAGGTTGATGATATGACAGTTTAAGTTTAAGGTTGATGAGATTTGCTGCCTAAGCATCCTGAGTATACCCTGTGAATAAAGGTTCTTGGGTTCTTGAGTTAAGCAGATGCTTCCCTAGGTAACTTTGAGCCCTTGACTTGACAACCTCATGCTACTGTATCTACTTAAGTGCATATTTTTTTCTATAATTTGTCAACAATGTGTGAGAAACAGAACTACAGTATAATTTAAACCTGGACCCCTTAGCTGCTATAAATTGATATAGTTCTCTGTTGATTTTTACACCCATTAAAGAACTGGCCTACGAATTATTCTGAAGAATATGAAGTGTAATAAATATTGGTCTTTAATACTGACTGTTTTGCAGTTTAACTTTTCCAGTTGCATGATTACAGCTTGCTTAGTTTAGAATCAGTCCAAAGTTATAAGTATAATTAGAAAGAAAAAAGCTTTTTTTTAATTTTTCAGCTGTACAAGGATCAGGTGTCATCTTTAGAACTGTGGAAGTTACGTTACATAAAGAAGGGAACACTTTTGGGTTTGTAATAAGAGGTAAGATGTGAATAAGTAAATGTGAATGTGAAAATGTGAATAAGTCTGATTTTCTGGATCCGTACAAGCAAAATGCCAACGCATTTATATGATAAAAAGCAATCATATTTCAATATTGATGGCTTACAGTTTGTAAAAACTTGTGTGATTTATTCATGGTATCTCTGCATTTTAATATACTATTTTTATGAACTAATCTAAATTTGTATTTATAGCATGATAGTAATGAATCCAATATGCCAAGAACATAACAGAATTCATTTCACGGAAGGCCAAATCTGGCTACTGTTGAAGTCAATGGGAAATTGCCTGTGCAATAGGATTATTGCTGTTAAAGGAGATATACAATAAATGTTTTATTTGTATAAATTATGTATGGAAATTTATGTTATAGTTTAGTAACATCTGCAAGCTGCAGCATGAAAGGTCTCAAACTAAAGCAGAAAATTAATTTATTTTTGATGATGACTTGGGAGGCATTGAGGTATTTGAGAGATATAATAGTGTAAAATATAGAGTTACAAAACATACAGAGTTGTTCAGTGGTCAGTGATCTACTATTCTGAGTGTAGATGGAGTTCACATGCTTTTTCCCCTGTATGAGAAACTGTGCAGGATACAGAGTTTTAATGTCCAGGATGTAATGAGAATGATATAGTAAATAAATTTGGGAGATTAGGAGATTTGAAGAAATTAATATACTTATCTAAGAAATAGTATTTTAGATCAGCATTAGGGAAAAAAACTATTTCCATCGTAAGCTACCATAATATTACTCCTAATATGGACCAGCTTATGTGTAGCTTGGATTTTTACTCTCATTAACCAACCTATAAGTATGTATGCTACAAACTTCTGGACTTGAACTTTGGAAATGAGTTTTCATAAAAAGAACATAATGAGAGTGTTTCCTGCTTTCTCTTTTCTAGGTGGAGCACATGATGACAGAAATAAATCTCGTCCTGTTGTAATAACATGTGTCAGACCTGGAGGGCCTGCTGACAGGTACAATTCATCTTCTCTGTAGCAAGAGAGAGAAAAGTAGATTATTTAGGACAGAAGTCAAGTCTGAAATCTGTGGAGTACAGTAGACCTGTTCAAACCTAATCCTTTGAAATTCATAAATTATACACTTAATTGAAATCATAATAGGCAATCACAGAAGCATGGCACATGATGACATGGCATGAATTTTAATTAAGAGATTTAGCCGCTTGTTTCAGGATTGTACCTCACAGACTTAAGGAAAAAAACCTGAAAATCCCCAGAAATACTAGGACATGATTACAGCACACTTTTTGCAGCTTAAACAGCAGGCAGTGTAGCCATTGTGTTTAGTTTAACACCGCGTTGAATTTTCCAGTGCTTTTCTTCTGCACTCTATGAAGAAATTATCTGGCTGTGGACACATCTACACATGCAATTAATGTGCCTGAATTTTCTGCACAGAAAATTCAGGCTCATTAAAGTGCTGCCCAGTGCCCATCTACATGTGTGCCTCTATCAGGAGCAAATTGAGCCCGACAGGAGCAGCCCAGTCCAAGGCTGCTTCTGCCCTGCTCTACCCCCCTGCAGCAGCCAGGAGGAGCTCCATGCTCCCCTGGGTGCCAGCCCTGAGCTGGCAGGGGGCACAGGGGTTTAGTCTTGAGCTCTGGAGGCAGGGCTGGGGGTAGCTGTCCCAGCTAGGCAGGCAGCTCTGTCCCAGCCAGGTGGAGATCAAGCTGGCCCTGAGTGGGGGGAAAGGGGGTGGAGACTGTCCTGGATGGGCAGGAAGCTGCCTCTCAGCCACATGGAGATCTGGACCCATTCGGAACATCTCTCCCACCTGCTGTGGCCCCCTGCTGCCTAGGTTGAGTGGGAGCAATGTGTTTCCAATCAGCATTTACACGTGCTCTTTAATGTGCTGATTTCTAGTACCCATATCTACTGCAGTAGATTAGTCTAATGCACCATCTAGACTAATCTGTGTAGATTATGACACTTCACTGTGCATTAGATTAGTCTAGTGCGCAATAAAGCATCTCAAGTAGATACACCCAGTGTGTATTATTTTTAAAAAAATAGTTAGACCCAGTTCTGAGCTCAGAGTTTCCTTAGTCTGTTCTGAGGCACAACTCCCACTGAATCAGCCCAGAGTGACTGGGTGGAGGACTCTGTCAAAGCCCTTTTCACCAGGGTGAATTTAATCTCCAGAGAGAGCTGTAACTGCAATAAACAGGATAAAGAACACAGCATGGCAGAGCAGCATGCTTACAAATGCTTACTAATTTTGGTAATATGGTAGCTCAGCAGGGGATTTCATCAGCATGACAGATCATAAATAGGGGTGCCTATACATGTGCAGTGAAGCTGCTCTGATGAGCTTGGTAATTACTACATTCCAGCAGACTCCAGTGTCACGTGTATCAGTGTCCCTGTGCTGAAAAAAGGTTGCAGGGGCACTTTAAACCTTGTTTGACCAGCTTTAGTTAAAGCACCCCCAACAACATTTTTTCAGCGTGGGAACACTGATGCACGTGACACTCTGAGTGCTTTAATTAGAGTGGCTTTGGAACCACTAAAGCATTCTCCTGCCTCCCCCACTCCCAGAGCACGTGTATAAATGCCCTATAGGTCTAAATATATGTATCTATTAATTCGTGTGTCTGTGTGTGTCTGTGTGCGAATGTGGATGTAACTCTTGTGTGTGTGTATCTATCGATCTATAAATTATTTATATCATTTGTTATATATCTGTTATGTTGGTTATACATGTAACACTATACATGTGTAACAATTATTACATATATGTGAATATATACATATATTTAGATCAATAGTTATGATCTGTCATACTGATGAAATGCCTTGCTGATCTAATATAAGTTACATATTACCAGAATGAGTATGCGCGTGTGTGTGTGTATCTATATATATAGATGTGTGTGTGTGTATGGTGGGTTTTTGGTAGCCGTGTTGGTCTAAGGGCATAGGCAGGCAACGTTCTTTGAGTAGATGTGATATCTTTTATTAGACCGACTGAGTAGTTGGGAAAAAATGTTTAGCAAGCTTTCAGGCGCAGTTACCCTTGTTCAGGCATAGGAAGTCTCTACTGTTCTGAGATGCCAAGGAATGAAAGAAGCTTCCAAGGAATTCCAAGCTTCCTTGGAGCCTCAGAACAACAGAGACTTCCTATGGCTGAAGAAGGGTGACTGCACCTGAAAGCTTGCTAAGAACTTTTTCTCAATTACTCAGTTGGTCTAATAAAAGATCTACTCAAAGAACCTTGCCTGCCTGTGTGTGTGTGTGTGTGTGTGTGTGTATATATATATATATATATATATATATATATATATGTTATTCCTGCTATACATAAACAGGGCCCTACTAAATTCATGGTGGAAGTGCACTGTGCTGCAACTCCTTTAATTTTGCAGGTTCCCCCGCATGTGCCCTGCCACTGATTGGTGGAGTGGCGTACTTGCAGCTTACTCCTGATCGGCAGAAAAGTGAAACTGCAGTTTTAAACATGACACTGTTTTTGCCTCCCTGCAATTCAGCAGCAAGCAGCGGGGCTACTGGGGCCCCTCAGCCAATTAGTGGCTGGAGGCAAAAAAACAGCGTCATGTTTAAAACCATGGTTTTCATCTCCCTGCTGATCAGGCGTGATCTGCAAGCAGGGCCCTTCCACCAATCAGTGGTGAGGGCAGGCGTGCAGAGGAATCTTGCAAGATTAAAGGAACTGCAGTGCAGCCCATTTCCACTATGAATTCTGTAGGGCCCTATACACAAATATACCTTACATGAAAGTTCTAAACATAATAATATATGTCTATATCATATTTATAGCTGTATGTAATGACACATTTGATTAGTACTTCACAAAATCATGGCAAGATTATTATGCATTGATTTGGCTAAAGATGCTGTTATCTAGATAAATAGATATAACAACTGGCTGAGGATCATAGATAGAAAGTTAAGTAATTTAGGGTAAACCATGGACTGTACTTTATATAACAGCATTCTCTATCTTTAAAAAGAAAAAAATGTTAATAAGTGGCTTGGTATATCAGTTATATTTTCAGAAATGGCATGTGCACCCTTAAAAATATTAAAGAAGCTAAAAGGGCTATTTCTTTAAAGGATGCTGTTGTTAGAAGTTTTTGCCTCTGGCTAACATTAATAAATAGATAAACGTTCAAGAGAACCTTTGTCTTTTTTCTCTACCTTCCCTCCCTGCCTTTGTCTCTGACCTTTGGGCCAAGGATAAAAATGCTTTAATTTCCTTTTATAATTCAGGATGTGTCATGATATATACCTAGGAGAGAGAGCAGTATTCCTAGTCAATTTTCTTTCAAATTATTAGGAAAGAAAGAAGAGAATTATCTTGATGGGTTGAGGAATGTTTTAGAGAGAAATCAGGAAATTATTCTTCACAGTCAGCAATTTGTTTCTTCAAGAATGTATTTTGCTTGCTATTTATTTTTTTTCAGAATCTGGGTGTTTGTGGGCACATCTACGTGAGACATTTCCTGCAGAGTTGCCAATTAGCTCTGCAGTAAACAGCTCAACATCTACATGTGCAAGGCTATTAAGGTGGAGTAAGCTAATAAACTCTGCAGCAGGGTAGTATTTGTAAATACAAGTACTGTCCTGCTGCAGAGTTTTTTACTCTGCAGTACCGCATGTGTAGATGCTGATGCAGCTGGCTGAGGCACAAGAGAGCTTCAGTGCAGGGGCTGCCTGCCAACTAGCCCCATACTGAAGTACCTTCATGCTCCAACCAGCTCTCCCAGCAGCTGAGCTGGGTTGGAGTAGCCCCAGGCTGGTCGGCTGACCTCCTGGGGCCCCTGCCAGCCACGGCTGCTCCAACCCAGCTCAACATGCTGGACTCCCAGGTGGTCTTGTAAATCCAGACCCCAAAGCAATAAACTGTGGTGCAATATGCACTGGAGTTTATTGCATCACATTAATATGCATGTGTAGACGTGCCCTGTGTGTGCAAAAGGGAGTGGAGAGGGGACACATGTTGTAACAAAAACAATACCTAATAGTGATCTACTGTGTTTTGATTCATTAGTAATGTATAGTTCCAATTATTGACTATCCAGTTAAGACAATTTCCTTTTCACAGTGACCTCTGGTCACTCTTACTGTCAAAGTAAATGTTAAGAGTAAAGTCAAGTGGGATGGATATCATAAAAGGCAGGATTGAATCGCTCAGCATAAATGGTGATTTTATCCAAGCCATGTTATACTAAATTAATAAAAATTTTCCTTTAATCTATCTTCAGAGAGGGCACAATCAAACCTGGTGACAGGTTGCTTAGTGTTGATGGAATTCGACTCCTTGGAACATCACATGCTGAAGCCATGAGTATTCTGAAACAATGTGGACAGGAGGCAACTCTGCTGATAGAATATGATGTCTCAGTAATGGGTATGTTGAAATGCTGAGCTTTAGTTCTGGGAACCATCTGTGACATTTTACTATCCATCCCTGATAAGCTACTTCAAAATTGATTATGGCCTGTTATACTTCTAGTAGCACAGATATTCCCATCAGCACCATCTCATTCATCTTTTTAGGTTCGTGAAGAGGTGAGCAGTGTTTTATTATAATTTAGAGTCTTACTACTTTGTGGTTCATCGAGTAAAACGATGCTGTGGATACTGGTGAGGTAACTTTCTCAGTGACTGGCTTATGATAATAGCTAATGATGTGTAAGCATTTCTATCTCAGTCAAACAAAAGAGAGATTTACTAGCTCTGACAGGAGCCCTTATTTCCTTTTCCCAGTGTTGCTAGCAACACAATAGCAAAAGCCATGAACAACCAAAATCCTGTGCAAAGAATTGTGAGGGAGCAAAAGGACCTGAAAGCTGGGAAGTAAGGAGGAAATTGTGGGATGAACAAAGAGCTTCAGTTTTGAGACCAGGTAGTATTTCCAGTGAAAATATTTGAAGAGGGCTGAATATTGGCAGTTAACCTGAAAAATATATCTGAGTTTGGTCCAGCTCTGTGGTTAAAACTTCCATTATAATATATAGTTGAAAGAGTATTTGTACCATTACTTCCTTTACTATCTTCAGTCTTCAGCAGAAACTTCTGCATTACTGAGTAACGTCCTATAGAGTTCTATTTCAAAGCACAACTCTAAGTGTAAAGGCCCATAGAATATACTGTCAGAGTATGAAATTGTCAATTAATATGAAATAGCTGGGCTGGATGAAGAAAATCGTTTTGTTTTTTTTCCAGCTAAAATTTGGTCTACAGCTGTGACTTTCCAGAGTATTACTGATTTGTTATACTCTTGCACACACAAACTGATTCAAAGATGCTACATTCATTTAACTTTTGCTTCTTTGCCTGTAATCTTCTTGAAGCCACTAGATAGTGGTACACTATTGGTTCTGGAATCGAGCCAGGCTGAGTCAGGGAATAAGAAAGAAGGCACCCCTATGCAAGGAATTCCCCCCAGCTTCCTGCTTTTCACTGGACCAATGTGCTTTATTTAAAAGACCCGTTTATGGCAGATACTACTAGTTTAATACTAGTTTAATGAGACATTGAAAAAAATAAGAATTACAAATAATAGGTGGACCTCTGAAAGTAATAGGAAAATAGGTGTATTTGAAGTTTAGATAAACCCTGGAATAGCAGAGATAGCAGTTTGCCTGGTATCTTTTTTTTCCCCAAACCTTCTCATTCTCAATGGCATAACTAGGGGGAGTGGGTAAAAGGGGCAATTGCCTCCAGTGCCAATTTGGGTGTGGAGGAGGAGAGGGGGTGAAAAAAAGAGGCTGCAACACAGCAACAACCAGAAGTCCCCTCTTCGGCTTTACCCAGGGTGCCCAGACACATCCCGATACTGCTGCTTATTCTGTTTTGAAGATGAAACAAGATGGTTGCTCATACTTCTTAGGTGAGATGTGTATTTCTTAATTTTTGAGAAGCAATATTGGCACAAGGTCATGTGTGTCTTCACAGGCCATGTGGGTGTGATAATCTTTCCTTAAAGTTAGCTATCTGCAAAGGTGGCATAAGCCATATGGATTTAATAACTTTTTCATTTGTTATGGTAGTCCCAAAATAAAGCTATCAATTAAATGATGGCACTTTATGAATATGGGATTTAAAACGTCTCTTCAAGAAGAAGATAAAATATTAGGCAAGTTGATTGGCTTCGTAAGATGGCACACAGGGGACATTTTTCCCAGAGATACTTATAGTGCTTGTTATTCAGTACTGGAATGTATCTATTACTAGAGGACGTGTTACAGAGTAGAAATCTCTAAACGGAAAATTATTTTGTTAACCTGAATTACTTTGTTAAATCAAGGGTGTCAAAAAACCAGGCCATGGGGTTTCTCTGAGCCCAGAGAAGCACTTCTGGATCCAGCCTGTGGGGGCAGAAATTCTGCGACAGAGAGAGTGGCAGTGTCATGAACCCTTGCAGCTGCCACATCTACAGGATTAATGGCACTGTAGGGCAAGCCAGCATCTACAGGATTAATGGCACTGCCTCTCACCCTCGCTCAGAATTTTTGAGTTGAGATCCCCATTGGGGATGCCTTTTGGCAGTGGCATTAAACCACTGGGAGCTGCTCACCCTTGCTGCTAAATTTCTGGTTTAAGATCCCTGCTGCAGACATCTTTCAGTGGTGACAGCAGAGCTAGCAGCCAGTATGTGGGGGTTAATGCTGCCACCAGAGGTGGGTTGTCCAGCTTGCCAACCCAAATGAGTTTGATACCTCTGCCTTAAATACTACACTGTGATTAGCCTAATGAATTTCATAACAGCTTATTTTAGATAGTGATTGAACATCAAATTATAATTTGCCAGGAAAACAAATCTAGAAATAAGACCTCCTTCAAGAGGAATCAGAAATTGAGGGATCTTTCAGGTACAGATGAGAAATGCAATTCAACCATCTCTGTAGCCACAAGGTATTGATTCAGATTCCCACTGCACCTCTCTTAAGAGGAGGAATGAAAGTTATGTCTCAGTTTCTTAGGGAGCAGATTAGATACGAGCACCCTCTTGATCACATTATTAGGAAGATTCTTGTTTCTTTGTAATTAAGGTTGCAAAAATAATTCCATTGTAAGCCTGTAATTTTGACTAACAAAATTGGTTTTGCTTGCAAATTTCCATACTTACTCTGAAAACTAATAAGAAAAGATCTGAAATGGTTTGGAGAAAATTAGTCTTTTTGGTTCCCAGACATGAAAATAGTTACCATGATCTAAATGCTGACCTTTGTCATTTGTGGTTAGCTCTAGCTCTAAATATAGTTTATCATTGCCCCTTCAAGATGTTTACCATTTTCAGTCCCCTTGAATTTTCCTGCAAGGGGTATTTCTGAAGGAAATATACAGTGATAAAGCAAAATGATTAACAATTGTTATGTTTGTAGTGTGTGAATGAGTATTTGTTTGCCGCTTGCACCTGAGAGAACATAACATTTTATCTTCATCATACCAGTGTATCAGAGTCTTTCTTCCTGTATCAGTGCTAGAGACCTGTATTATTTATTGAATCAAAGGAATAGGTTTTGCATGGTTCTCTGGTTTATTTCAGTTATTTGTTTGTGTCAGTGAATTCACTGAAGTGACACACAATTGTTTTCTGCAGAGTGACAAAAAATGACAAAAACTTGTTCTTGAGTTCTAGATCTTTACAATCACTAACTATAGATGGTCCAGGAAATATGCATGAAGCAAGGCTTTCTGGGGGTGCTATCTTTCACTGGACCAACTGCACAGTTGGGATAGACTTAGACAAGTTAATTTCACTGCATTTGAAAGCTTACCTAAGACCATGTACAGGAGTTAGGTTTCTACGAGGACAAACTGTTCTTCCAGTAGAAAATAACAGCGTACAGTTTAGGGAGCGGAAGAGAAGGGGTATCTGCAGGCTGGAAGGGCTGTCTGTTCAGTCACTCTCAGGAAGGTTTCTGCGACTGCACATTTCCCAGAAATTTGATGTCCATGTGATTAGAGGTGTACCAATACATCAGTGGCATATCAAATTGTCACCGATAAAAGGAAAATTAACATTATTGGCAGTCAGCTTTTTTTGGCCAGTGTAGCCAATGTCACTGATAAATGCTGCATGCAGTTTCAGCATGCACACAGCCAAGAATGCAGCCAGGCAGCTTGGAGAGCAGCATCCTGCCAGTAAGTCTGTAGGGAGGGAAGGACTGTGGGGGAGGGAAGGGGCATGGGGAGGCAGATTGAGGCCCCCATGGTGAGGGTGGGAGTGGAGCAGGGGCAGGCGCTGCCCAGCCAGGACAGTGAATGGGTCGCTGAGGTGGGTCACAGGGCGGAGCTGCAAGCAGCTCCTCCGGGGGTAGTTCCACTTTTCAAATTATTCTTTTTTATGCAATTTTGGTGGGGGGGGGTTTCCTGGTAATGCCTCTTTTCTATTTCACAGCCCTGAAGACTGTTTTTAGTTCAAGCTAAATACTTTAACTCAGGTCTAGTAATATTAAATCAGGTGTACACAATGCCTGACACTGAAGTATTGGAGGCACTGTTAAGATGCTCAAGAAGACTAGATTTGTTTTATGAATTTGTATGGAAGATATACATTTAACTGTAATGACTACAGGACTAATGAAGCAATATCCTTTGACTATTTTGACCATTTCATATCTAGCTGGTCATGCATTTTTAACTTAATATACAATGTAGCAAATTAGTGCACATTCCAAAAAGTTATATTTGTTTTTCTTTGATCTTAAACTGAATAACATAGTGCTAGGGCCTTAGCATATTAGTAAAGCTTCTAGCTTCTCTTTAACTGGAGAAAAAGATGTTTCATCTGCACCCCCTTTGCAAAATCCTAGATCTATGCATATATACCCAGAATCTTCAATTATGTCATCACGTACATTTTCCACAAAACCCATCTGCCAGTCAGTACACCATATGGCCAGTGATTACTGTATAAGCAGCCCTTTAATATTTTGTTTTATTCTTGTTGCTTATGTAACTTCAGGCCTTAGTGTGCACTATCTACCCCCCTCCATAAAGACAGATTCCTAATGTCCTCCTAGGTTTTTCTATGGTATTCATCATTAGAGTATCTGAATATTTCACAATTATTGATGGATTCATTTTCCAAAATCCTTGTGAAATGAAGGGATAGTATTTTCCCCATTTTACAGAGACTAAGGTCCAAAGTGTCATCTAATCTTGGGTGTCCAACACGAGGTGCTTGGACAACATTTTTCAGAGTGCATTATGTGACACTTTATATGCTGAGAAAACAACTCCTGCTGCTCTGAGTGCTCTGTGCTTCTGCACATCAAACTCACAGGATAAATACCAAACAAGACATCCAGAAAATGAAGAGAATGTAATTAGTAACCACTGTTGAACAATCTGGTGTAAGCGACTTGCCTAGAATCATGCAGGAGCTCTGAGACAGTG